TATTCCCTCGTGCCTCGTACGTTCTCAAAGTGTGTGGAGACGGCCCTGCAACCGTTGCACAGGGCAGGGATGAGAGTTTTGTTTTACCTGGTCGACCTGTTGCTGCTGTCACGCTCCAGACAGGAAGCAGCGGGACAGGTCCAGGCGCTGACATCACACCTGTTAAATCTGGGCTTCTCCATAAATTCAAAGAAAAGCTCGATTCTCCCAGCCCAGACAATTGTTATCTTGGAGTGGAGCTAAACTCAACCACCATGAGGGCTCGTTTATCACAAACGAGAATCGACACTCTGAAAGACCAGCTCTGTCACATAAGACCTGGCAGAGTGATAACAGCTGTTTCCATCATGAAGCTGTTAGGAATGATGTCATTGGCGTCACACAGTGGTCCCGCTGGGTTTATTACACATGAGATGCCTCCAGAGGTGGTTTGCGTGTCTGCGTGTGGATCCAGTAAGACAAAAGAGACAGATGATCACTGTTCCTCCCTCCGTGAGAGCAGACCTCCGACACTGGGGAAACCCTCTGGTTCTGTCAGAGGGAGTCCCCGTCAGCAGACCCACGTCACACGTGTCAGTCTTCACAGATGCGTCGCTGTCAGGTTGGGGGGGATATGCCTATCTCAAGCTGTAGGGGCGCTGTGGCCCCATCACACATCAGCCCACATAAATGTTTTGGAGTGTCGCACGGTGCTGAACGTGATCCAACACTTTGCTCCTGTGCTGCAGAATCAACACGTTTTGATCCACACAGAAAACAAGGTTACTGCTGCGTACATAAACCGGCAGTGGGTGTGCGCTCAGCCCAGATGTTACACACTGCGCAAAAACTACTGTGTTGGGCACATCAAAATCTGCTCTCCATCAGAGCAGTGTACAGTTCCGGTGTTCTGAACAAAGGGGTAGATGTGATGTCCAGGGGCAGCCCACGTCACGGGGACTGGACTCTCCATCCAGACCTGATGGCCCAGACGTGGCAGGTATTTGGCAAGCAGCCGTGGACCTATTTGCGACACGAGAAAATGCTCAGTGTCAACTACGGTGTTCTCTGAGCCTGCGAGACGAACCACTGCTGGGGGTGGACACGTTGCCCACAGCCCATGGCCCAAAACGCTTCTTTATGCATTTCCTCCACCTCCTTTGAGTTTATAGTTCTTGAAACAAGTTCAGGAGGAGGGATTGACAGCTCTCCTGATGGCCCCTGAGCACGTGGACGCACCATGGTTCCCAGTCCTGCAACGCCTGCTATCGGGGCGCCCATGGAAACTGCCGTGGAGGGAGGATGCTCTCCTTCAGGCATGTGGAGCGATCAGGAGTTACCCAGAAATAGGCCAGCACCTGTGGGTCTGGCCGCTGAGCGGACCCGCTTAGAAGGGATGGGTCTCCCACAGGATGTAGTGCGCACAATTCAGGATTCACGTGCTGTATCTACCACAGCGCTGTACACATCAAAGTGGACAGTTTTTCAGCGCTGGTGTACAGAGAAAGGTGTAGAGGCCACCTTCATGTCCACTAGGCGACGTGCTGTCCTTTCTGCGACAGCTGATGGACAGAAATTTGACATCCAGCACGATTAACGTACGCTGCAGTCATCTCTTCCTGCCACGAAGGGTTCGGAGACAGAACAGCTTTTAATCATCCGCTGATGAAGCATTTTCTAAAAGGTGTACAAAAACGCAGGCCTGTTTCACACCCTCTTGCTCCACAGTGGGATTTAACGCTGGTCCTGCGAGCCCTGATCAAAGCTTCATTTGAGCCTCTGGATCAGGTTTCCAATTAAATTCTTGTCTCTTAAAACAGCCCTGCTGCTGGCTTTAACATCCGCTAAGAGGGTGAGTGATTATCTGCCTTCTCTGTCACTCCGTCATGTCTCAGAATTCAGGCTGACGGTAGCTCAGCTGATCTAAGACCAAATCCAGCTTTTATGCCTAAAACATCACAAGCTCTTTAAAATCAAGAGCAATATTGTTGGAGGGGTTTTCCCTTCCCCCACAAATCAGAGGAAGAAGCGGTTTTTCCATCTTCTCTGTCCGGTGCGGGCGTTGACGTGTTACACAGCTGCAATGCGTCAAATTTAACATCTGTTTGTGCATTATAGAGATGCATCTGCAGGTCGCCCGTTATCCACCCAGCGCTTGTCACACTGGTTGTGTGAGGCCTTTTCTGAAGCCTACAGAGCATCAGATTTAGAGCCTCCTGTCAACCTCAGAGCATACTCGATCAGGAGTATTGCATCTTCGACTGCTTTGCATAATGGTATGACAATGCAGGATATTTACACTGCGACCGCGTGGTCAACACCCTGCTCATTTATTCACTTTTATCTACGTGATGTGACGGCCCGTTCCATGACACATTCTGTCCTTAGTGTTTTACAGAATGAATATTGTTGTTTCATGGAACTCCGTTTAACTCACATCTGTCTGCATGCATTACAGTGTGAGATGTTGTTATCAGTCACAAGTTGAGACTGTTATTTTGGTTCTATTGTCACTAATCAATTCATGACTATCGTTACCAATCAGTTCATTTGATTAATAATCAACTCTCCTGTTATGATTAATCGGTTCATACTGTTCAGCCGTAAACCGGTTGGTTCATGGCTCTTTTCAGCATTTTTCCCTCCCCGTTGAAATTTTTTGCGGGGCGTTCATGCATTCAGAACGCATAGTTACACAACATGCGTCTGTGCATGGCACACATAATTACGCAATGCGTAATTATGTGGAGCTGAGTGACATGGGGAGCTGAGTGACAAGATGTTTTTTGGGCAAGCTTCTGCTTCATAAGGTGTTCGAATGGACCCAGTGAGGCGAGGACCACATCTGCTTCGCCCTTAACCCATCAGCGACAGCCTTAAAGGGCGAAGTCTATATGAAATAGAACGTTGGTTACGTACTGTAACCCCAGATTCTATGAATATAGGCGTAGCCCTTTAAGCGTCGGGCCTCACTGGCTCCTGAATGGCTGAAGAAAAGTTATTTGGGAGCCGATTACCCGCTCTTAACGTAATTTATATGGACCAGGTGGGGCCCACACAGCAGGTAGGCGTGGACTAAATTTTTTCAGTGCAATGCTTCGCATAACGGGATAAAACCCACTAAGCGACAGCCTTAACGGGCTACGCCTATATTCATAGAATCTGGGGTTGCAGTACGTAACCAACGTCTTGCCTAATCATCACCCCCGAACATAAAAGATGCGTAAGACTGGGAGGTGTGAGGCAGCAATGACGTCACTCTCCTGCGCCGCTTGGAATTGCCAATTCAGATTGATTTTTGGAACAGTTTTTGCAGGGGTGGGGCATGAAAACGAAAAATCAGTTGTGTTCTTAGTTTCCTCTAGTTGTGTTTCACAATGAGCAGTCTTGAAGAAGAAAATGAAAATAATTCATTTTTAATTTTATTTGAGTCAAAAAATGCAGCTTGACTTTGAAATGAAAAAGAATTTCTGCTTTTTCATTTTAATTTTCAAATTTGACATTTCAAAATGAATTTTGGTCACTTTTTACTGGGACATATTTTGAAAATTAAATGTTAAACGCTATTTTATTTATCATTTTAATTAATTTACACAATTAGCAGTCTTGAAGAAAATGAAAATGCAGTTTGGATTATTCATTTTTTATGAGTCAAAAAATGCAGCTTGACTTTGAAATGAAAAAGCAATTCTATTAATCCATTTTAATTTGATTTATGAGACATAATGGCTTCCATAATATAATATATAATATATAGAATATGATGGGAGCACGGCAGCGCAACTGTCAGAGCTGCTGCCTCTCAGCGAGCAGGTCCCTGGTTCAAATCCCGGTCCGGGGTCCTTTCTGGGTGGAGTTTGCATGTTCTTTCCGTGCATGCGTGGGTTTTCTCCGGGTACTCCGGTTTCCTCCCACATACCAAAAAACATGCATGTTAGGCTGATTGGTAACTCTAAATTGTCCCTAGGTGTGAGTGAGAGAGTGAATGGTTGTTTGTCTCGTTTGTCTCTATGTGTCCCTGTGATGGACTTGCGATCCATCCAGGGTGTACCCCGCCCCTCGCACAGTGATTGCTGGACATGGGCACCGTCGACCCCCGTGACCCAAAATGGAATAAGCGGGTACAGATAATGGATGGATGGAGATAATGGATGGATGGATGGAATCCTTGAGAAAGAGAATAACTCCTTACTGTTTGTGTTTTTAGGTGAAGGCCGAGAAGGAGAAGAGGGGAGAGGTTCTGGGTTTTGCAGAGGATCCGGTTTGTAGGTAATTGGTAGTGAAGTTACCTCTAACACCGAAGCTTCAAAGCACGCTTCAAACTCGACAGGGTAGTTATGGTGAAGCAGTGGGCCGGAGCTTGCTTCATGTGACGTCACCAATGACATATGAACCACTTCACTGCTTCATTCAGACCGAGTAAGCTGACTGCTTCGAGTTGACAGGCGGAATTTCAAACATTTGGTACGATTCAGTGTAGATGGCTCAAGCCCCGGTTCACATCCCCATTCTACATGTATTATACGTTAGGAACAGCTCTTGTTTTTTGATATTCGGACAGTGGTTAAAAGAAGTGTAAATGATTTAGGGTGCCTGTTAAAGATAATTTAGTTGTGTAAAATAATATTTAGGCGTTTACTGGTTAAGGCATTTAAAAAAAAAAAGCTTATTTAAAGGTTTTCAACTGCTGCTGCTACTAACCTCTGCTGCTACTACTGTTGTTGCATCCGAAAATTCTGCTACCGATGTGAGAAGCACAAAAAGATTTTAATTTTAAAATAATTTTCCGTATTCTACCTGATGGTTAACAACTGGAGACAAAACAAATCAAGCTCAGCCTAACTTTGGAAACTAAAACAGAAAAAACACAATTTGATTCTCCAATATTTGTATTTTTGTCGTCTGCAGCTCAGGCACAGAAAGTTGGCAATGACCCATCTTTTTGGAACGAACGTGTCCCAACTGAACTGTGTGTTCAACAGTGAGGGTGTTTCTCTTGGATGAGACTCTTTATAGTCTACTTAATGTAGAAACACAGAGGAACCAGGCCAGAATGTAAACCCAGGATAAAGAGGTTCAGTGAATGTGGCGTTGAAGGTGTGGAGCTGAAACAGTTTGTCAGAGGAGATGGTGTAGAAGAACAGAATTCCAGCAGAATAGTCCACATACACTGCTATTCTATGGGAGGCAGAGGAGGAGAAGTGTGACTTGGTGTTATTGTGACTCACACTGAAGCCATCATCAGAGCACTCCAGACTCCAGGACTGATCGTTCTCACCAAAGATGCAGTCATTACCTGCCCCTTTCCTTCCAATTCCTCTGTAACTCACTGATATATAAACTGTTCCTCTCCATTCGACCTCCCAGTAACAGCGACCTGCCAGGTCATTACTACACAGCAGCTGTGGGCAGACTTCAAATCTGTCTGGATGATCAGGATACAGCTGATCCTTTTCCACACGCGCCACTTTCCTGTTGTCGTCCGACAGTTCGAGCCCCGTGTTCAATGTGTTGATATCGACTGTGAGTTGACAGGAGTCTGATGGAGACAAACACATTTCAGTTGCATTTACTGATTGGTAATCTTTATTAATGACTCATGAAAGAATGATGTGATAGGTTGAAAGTTGATGAATGTGTGCTTCTTTGTTGTCATGAATCAAATCAAAATGACAGTTTACTTACACTTTCTCAGACCTGGTTTCATCCATCGGGCTCCAGCAGGATTCACCCTGAAATGAGGAGAGGAGTCAGACCATCTGCTTTAGTGTGCAGACATGAACATTACTGTCTGTGTATGAGACATGCACATAAATGTATCGCCCAAGATCCAATACAGGTAACACACCAATCCATAAGAGAGTTTACAGGAGACATAATAAATAGTCACAGATGGATGATTATAAATATGGATGTAAATATTTCTAGTAAAAGTCTGTTGGTTGTACACAGTTCACTAATTCCTTTCTATCCAAGCTCTCTTCTCTTAGCTCTTTCCCTTTTATTATCCTCCTTTCTGTTGAAATCTATCTTTTTGTAAATGTTGTACATACACCTCCACATCTTTGGCCTCTGCAACAGAAAATATAAAATGCGGTGTAACAGAAATATAAAAATGTAAAATGTTTATCTGTTGATTTTCTCTTCCTTAGATTGCTGCTATTAACCTTCTTGTAGTGAACTAGGCCTCCGACAACAATCTGTCTATGAAAACCTTCAGGGGACAGGAACTGCTATTTCATTGATTTGAATCCAGAAATACAAATTATCTCATCAAGAGACTATTTAATTGTATCCTGAATTAATCAATTGAAAGAACACTCTTCTTTTTTACATTATCATTACTATTTTAGAATATCTTGATAATCAAAGCGTGTTTAGTTCATACCATTTCTAAATGTTGAAGTGAACCACTCATTTTAAATCAACTGTGAAACAGTATTTGTAAGGATGGTACTTTTCTGTGGCCCGGTTTGTTTCTGTTTCCCTCGTGCTCCCTCATTAGTTTCCATTGTTACCACCTGTGTCTCGTCCCAGCTGTTTGTTATCACGTCTCGTCTTGTTCCTGTATTTAAGCCGTCCTATTCTGTCTTGTTCTTCGTCGGGTCGTCTTCGTTGGGTACTTTTCCTTGGGTCTCCTGAGTCTTTCCCTGAGTCTTCCTGGTTCCTCGAGTTCCCCGTGTCTCTCGTGTCTCCTGAGTTCCCCGTGCCTCTTTCCCAAGTTCATGTAAGTTTTGCTGCCCCGTCAGCTTGTTTATTTTGTACTTTTCGTTTATCATTAAAATCCTATTTTTGTATTTCTGCCGAGTTGAGTCCCTGTTCTGCACTCTGGGTTTGCTCCTGACACAAATCCTAACAGTATTAATGATTTTTAAACCTCCTTAGACTTAGAAATCAAGTTAAATGTCTATTTACAAAGTAATTGTGCATTTTGATCTTCTGTCTGAATGAGGAGTAGTGATGTCGGTCAGAAGCCAGGGATTTCGGTCAAAAGTCAGAAAGCAAGTTATGAGAACAAAGTGCCTTGTTTTTAAACTTAGCAGACAGTAAATAACTTCAACTGGCATCTGCATTTGTCTCACTTCGCCATAACATTCCTCTGTCTGTACTAACCATTCGTAAACATTCCTGCTGTCTTTTTGACTCCTAATAACCCTCTGACATCACTGAAACACCGCCCCTGCTGGTTGTTTCAACCAATCAGGAAGTACCGATTGACCGGAAGTGAGTACTCTTTAAAAAGTCAACACTTCCTGGAACTAGGCAGTCTTCCTAGAGTCTTCCTTGAGTCTTACTCAGTCTTCTGAGTCTTCTGGCGGTCTTCCTGCAGTTTTTCCTGAGTCTTTCTTGGGACTATGGAGTCTGACTGAAGTTCCTGAGAGTTCCTAAGGAACTTTCAGATTTAATCAATAGCTGATGGATTTGACCGTGAGACGAGGGTCCGTCCATCCCAGCTGGAGTCACAGCGCCTCGCTGTGAACTCACCCGGGCGTAATGCCCTACAACTTCGAAGGAAGCTTGTTCTGTTGAACGGAGTAAACCACACGACTTCTGACGATGACCAGCCACCCTGACCGGAGACGCTGTAAAGATAGCGTGCATAGGGACATCTATACTGGAGCTGATCCATCATCTGCAAAGGTAAAGAGACGTCACGAGTTGTTACGCACTAAGTGGACCGGGAGTTTGAGCTGGTGTTGAAAGAAGCGTGCTAATTCTGGTCAACAAACATACATCTTCCTTCATCCATCTTCTTTTAAAATTCTCCATTCCTTCCTTTAAACTTTTCTATTTTGCCAGTAATCTAGATGCCTTCAAAAATGTTCTGTTGTCTTGTTAGTAAAACGTGCCAAGTTTTTATTAATCAGAACCAGATCAGCAAATCAATGTGTACATGTCTTGATGTTAAATTTTGATTCTGTTAAATAAATGACCGCATTTATTCTGATGGGTCAAAGATAAAATGGCGTCTCATGTCACTGATTAAACAATCGTCACAGTTATCTCGGTCACATGGCATTAATTTAACTCGAAAAAGAAAGAATCCATTGTATTTAAATAATTAATAGTCTTTGTGCTTGAACTAGCTTTAAGAATAATTAATTAGTAGTGAAGCTAACAGCAAAGCTGTCCCCACATTCACTACATTCTCAATATTTTTGCTTTTTGCACATTTGTGCATGTCCTTTCCACTGAACTTGTTATGGTACATGGTGCGATGATAAGATGTTCTTTCCACCATTGACAAAGTCCCAGAAACCTTGTAAGTTCCTGACAACATACCTATGTTCAGAAAACAAGGCTGTACTCTGATGTATAAAATGTGTCTGTGACCTTTATTCAAGGCTCTCTTGCTCTCTTGCAATCACTTGCTTTTTTTAGGATTCCTTGTCTGTATCAGCACAGAGCCTTCGAATGCATATTTTTACCTTCGAATAAAGAACTTGAACAAAGATCGATCTTTTCCTTTATTGCTTTGCAGCTGATATCTCACTCTGTTGTTAAAACTCCACCACACATCTCAGTTAAATATCTTTTCATTTGTGGAGTCCATCAAAATGTTTCAGAATATCCTTGATAGTAACTTTGTATTTAAGAAAAGGCGACCAATCTTTATAGAACCATCTACAAGTTCTCCACAGAGCAGCATCTTGACTGATAGGTCAACAGGTAGGCGTGCAACATTTCCCACTCAGCACAATCTGTTACTGATAAGTGTGATCTCAGTGTCCTCAGACTTGGTACAGTCTATTCATCATTTGTAATATTGTCATCCCATTTCTGAGTCAGGGAGAGTCAGAGAGGTTTTGTTGTTATTTCAGCTATGTACAAGTACATATTGAAATGAAACAGAATGAGAGTGGATCTAATATGACATTGCTGAGTGGTTCTTAGACTTATGATGTGATGGTGGTAGCATATCCAAGTTTCACTTCCATACAGCATCAGTGGTACAACACATTGATTATACACTTTAAGTTTAGTTGCTGTTGATAATTGATATATAATTGATAATTCAGCACTTTGGCCAATGGTGTTGTTTTAAAGTGCTTTATAAATAAAGTTGTATTGTATTGTATAATTCTCTACAGCTGAACACTTGATCACTGAGCTTCTCAACATCACAAGAGGCAGTTCGGATGTGTGCAGTAATCTCTTTCTCTGACTTGCAGTCACTATTGACAAAGCTTCCAAGATATTTAAAGTGATCCATTTTGGTTAACTTTTACATGTTATTGTAAAAGTCAGGTTGTTCTCCCACACTCATAGTTTGTTTTCTTGGTGTTGATCCAAAGACCCATATTCTGATTCACTAACGTGACTCATACATCTGACTTTATCATCTCTCACCAGCTTGTGAAGTAAATCTGGCCCACTCTTTTTTACAACATTGCTTTAGTTCATTTAGATTTTCAGACAATCATTCTTGCACAGTTTTCCTATGAATCTACCAAAAATTTCAAACAGGTTGAGGTCTGGACTTAGACCAGTCCATTTCAACTCCTCAATTCGTTTATTTTTCAGTCATTCTGTTAAACATTTGCTGCTGTGTTTCATGCAATTATCCTGTTGCATAATGACCCAGTTTGGTTCAAGTTTCATTTGTTGGACAGATGGCCTCACATTTGACCAGTGGTGTTGATAAATGGTATAATGTACATTTTACAATCCTACTGGTTACATTTCAACAGCAAATACAACTTATATGAGATACAAGACACAAGCTTTAAAAAGTACTTAATGTCAGAAAATGTCATAAAATGTTCAGCTATGGACTGCACTGCAATATGATACGGGCTGAGTGTTCAAAGTTCACATGATGAATATAGTAACTGTAAATATCACAACTGGTTTTCAACACGACAGCACGGTGGCGCAACTGGTAGAGCTGCTGCCTCTCAGCGAACAGGTCCCTGGTTCAAACCCCGGTCCAGGGGCCTTCTGGGTGGAGTTTGCATGTTCTCTCCGTGTATGCGTGGGTTTTCTCCGGGTGCTCCGGTTTCCTCCCACAGACCAAAAACATGCATGTTAGGCTGATTGGTAACTCTAAATTGTCCCTAGGTGTGAGTGAGAGAGTGAATGGTTGTTTGTCTCGTTTGTCTCTATGTGGCCCTGTGATGGACTTGCGACCTGTCCAGGGTGTACCCCGCCCCTCGCACAGTGATTGCTGGACATGGGCACCAGCGACCCCCGTGACCCAAAATGGAATAAACGGGTAAAGAAAATGGATGGATGGATGGATGGAAAGCAAGAACCTGTGGAGTGGCAGATCTGAGTGGTGGTCCCAATTTAAACAAAAGAAAACCAAAATATGGGATAATAATTAGAATAATCCTCAGACAGGGAAACAGTGACAAAATGCCGAATATGAAGACAGACTAACGAGGGGTAAATACAAACAGCTGGGAGAAACGACAGGTGGATGGCAGACACTCATTACATGAGAGAGAGGGTAGGAGAACAGGAACAAACTACATGAGGGTGACGCACATCAGGGAACACAATCCTCACAGTACCCTCACCCACCCCCTCCTAAGGTTGTCCCTTGATATTCCAAGAACCACCCCACCACACACACACACACACACACACACACACACACACACACACACACACAACATGAGTGGGAGGAGGGGGGAACCAAGAGGATGGAGGGCACAAGGGAGAACACGAGGAAAAAAGAAACCAAAAACCGAAGGGCAAAGCCCAGGAACTAGACATAAGAGAACCACACGGGGAGGGGTGAGGTGGGGGGTGGGGGGGTGGGGTTGACAAAAAGTTCATGTGGGCAGTCTGGAGACCATCCAGCCCAAGGGCAGGAGCTCTGGTGAGTGACCGGGAGACCATCTGTCACTGGGAAGGAGTTCAGGTGGGCGGCTGGGAGACCGTCCATTACTGGGGTGAAGAGATGGGAAATCAGGCGATCTGTAATGAGTGATAGAAACAGGGGATCTGTGGCTGGTGTAGCTACCTGGGGGGGGGGGTTTGCAGGTGGCGCCAAGGCCAGGGAAGCCACAGACGTCATGACGACCAGAGGGAATGCAGCAGGTGATGGGACCAGGGGATCTGCAGCAGCTGTGGGCACCAGCAAATTAGCAGGTAGCGTTGAGACCAGGGAGGTTGCAGTTGTCGTGGGGACCAGGGAGGCATGAAAACCACTGGAGGCATGAACCCCTCTGGGGGTGTGGAGCCCACTGGAGATGTGGAACCCTCTGTAGATGTGGATCCCTCTGGAAGTGTGGAAACCTCTGGAAGCGTGGAAACCTTTGGAAGTGTGGAAACCTCTGGGGGCGTGGAAACCTCTGGGGGCATGGAGCCCTCTGGAGGTGTGAAACCCTCTGGAGGTGTGGAAATCTCTGGAGGTGTGGAACCCTTTGGAAGCGTGGAAACCTCTGGAGGTGTGGAAACCTCTGGGGTGTGGAAACCTCTGGGGCATGGAAACCTCTGGGGGCATGGAGCCTCTGGAGGTGTGGAAACCTCTGGAGGTGTGGAAACCTCTGGGGGTGTGGGAACCTCTGGGGGCGTGGAGCCCTCTGGAGGTGTGGAAACCTCTGGGGGCATGGAAACCTCTGGGGGCGTGGAGCCCTCTGGAGGCGAGGAAACCTCTGGAAGTGTGGAAATCTCTGGGGGTGTGGAAACCTCTGGGGGCATGGAGCCCTCTGGAGGTGTGGAAACCTCTGGAGGTGTGGAAACCTCTGAAGGCGTAGAAACCTCTGGAGGCACAGTGGAACCCACTGGGAGGCATGGAGTCACACTGTCACCTAGTCTCTGCCTCTTCATCGGTAGGAACGGGTCCTCATGAGGTTCAGCCTCCAAGAGTTTCTGCTGCTTCATTTTCTGGGGTGGGTCTTTGGGAATTTCAGGACTCACAGGAGACTCAGGACTCACAAAAGACTTAGGACCCACAGGAAACTTAAGACTCACAAGAGACTCAGGATCATCAGGAGACTCATGACCCACAGGAGACTCGAGAACTTCTGGAGACTTGGGGACTTCTGGAGACTCTGGGACTTCTGGAGATTCAAGGAATTCTGTAGACATCGAGACCTCTGGTGGGGACATGGAGAATTCTGGTGGAGATGTAGCAACCTCTCGTTGAGACATGGATACCTCTGGTGGAGATGTGAAGACCTCTGGTGGGGATGTGGAGACCCTCTGAAGACATGGAGACCTCTGAAGATGTGGATACCCATCTGAAGACTTGGGACCATCTGAAGACTTGGGGAACCTGTGGATCTCTGAAGACTTGAGGATCTCCAAAGATTTGGGGAACTCTGAAGGCTTGGAGCTCTCTAAAGACTTGTAGCTCTCTGAAGACCTGGAGCTCTCTGAAGACCTGGAGATCTCTGAAGACCTGGAGCTCTCTGAAGACCTGGAGATCTCTGAAGACCTGGAGCTCTCTGACGACCTGGAGGTCTCTGAAGGTTTTGAGGTCTCTGAAGACTTGAAGCTCTCTGAAGGCTTAGAGTTTTCTGCAGACTTGAGGACTTCTGGTGCAGACTTGGGACTCTCTGCATGAGGACCTCTTTGTGCAGACTTTGGACTCTTTGCAGATGTGAGGACCTCTGGTGCAGACTTGGGACTCTCTGCAGGAGTGAGGACCTCTGGTGCAGACTTGGGACTCTCTGCAGGAGTGAGGACCTCTGGTGCAGATGGGACTCTCTGCAGGCATGGGGCCCTTTGCAGATATCAGGCTCTCTGTGGATGTGGAGCCCTCTACAGACTTGGGGCTCTCAGTATATGTGGAGTCCTCTGCCAATGTGGGGCCATCTGCAGATGTGGCAAACTTTGAAGACTTGGGAAACTCTGAAGGTGAGCAAGAGCAGTGGGAGGCATCCTTCTGGACCCTCTCAGATGAAAAATGAGAGGCATCATCTGGGACCCTCTCAGGTACACAAAAAGTCCTTTGAGGGGCATCCTTCTGGACCCTCTCGGGGGAAAGATGAGAGGCGTCCTCCAGGACCCACTTGGAAACACAAGGAGCAGGTGGGCCATCACAGTCACCCCCCACCCCCACCCCCCATCGGGACATAGAAAGGAGCAGGCAGCAATGGAAGAGGGTCAGTAGATCGGGCTTGGTTCCGACATTGGTCCCTCTATTGATGGTGACAAGGAGAGATGTGGAGAGGAGGTGATCCCTCAGGTGACTCGAATGAAGCAATGGGCTTGCTGGAGGTTGGAGCAACAGGCAGTTGGCAGATGGACTCTACAGTAAGCATGCTCTTTTCCTTCAGCACCTCATCCCGAAACTCTTTCATTCCTGGAGTGAGTCCAGGAAGGCGAAAATATTCACCAATCATGTCCTCTGTGGCCACCCATCTCATCCACAGATTACTGGAGGTGGCCACTCTATCCACATAGTGGTGTGTTACCCTGAGTAGTTGTCGCTCGTCCTCCGGGGAGAGCACAGCCAAGAACGAGCACCCTGCTGGGTTCATTGTTTGGGCTGAGGATTCTGTCATGATGTGGTGTGGTGGTTGAAGGTGAAGTGCAAGCAAACACAAGGAATTCGGGTGAAATAAAGAATAATGTTTAATGGTACAAAAACAAAGGCTGACGTGGCAGCAAACCTTACTCAAGGGGATCACGAGAGGAGCAGAGACAGATCATGACGTCAAAGGGAGACTAATCCTTGGACAGGGAAACAGTGACAAAATGCTGAATATAAAAACAGAATAATGAGGGGTAAACACAAACAGCTGGGAGAAACGACAGGTGAACGGCAGACATTAATTACTTGAAGAAGAAGGTAGGAGAACAGGAACAAACCACACAAGGGCAACACACACCAGGGAACACAATCCTCACATCATTCTCAAATAAATCTCTTCAGTTTGACATGCTAGGAGAAGCCAGTGTTTCATACTGCAGTAGTTAGCAGGGAGAAACTCTGTCAAGAAGCAAAACAAGCTGACATTCATAAAAGAAGAGATTTTTCTACATTTAAACCACTCATACTTAAAAATTACTGGCTGAAAAAGCAATGTTATGAAGAAACTGACAGTTAAAACTAACTACACATATGTAGTTCACACAAATCTATTTAAAAATATTGTTTAAAAAATATTGCAAATCAGTGAACCATTCACATGAATATTTGTTCATTAAAACAGATTTTGAACAGATTTTACAGAACCTTACCTAAAGATTTCGAGTGTCCAGTTGGATTGCTTCAGTCCTCCAGACAGCAGCTTCTCCCCTGAGTCCTGTAGGTTGTTGTTAAGCAGGTCGACTTCCGTCAGACAACACGACTGGGAGCTGAGAACTGATGACATGTAGTCACAAGTTTTCCCTGAAAGGTTACACGATCTAAGTCTAAAAAAAAAAAAAATCTAATTAGTATAACATTTATTATAGTGTTAATAAAATTGGTGATGTATTTTGCAGTTTATTTCTTATTTTTTCCAGCTATAAAAAACGTGCTGTAAAATGTATGTTGGAACAGAAGCTGTAGATTAATTCTGACATCTGATATCTTCCTGGAGGATGTTTGTAATTGTAACATGAAGGAAGACATTTTTTTTTTACAAATTGTAAAACTGATGAAACCTGAGAGTTTTTAGTTTGCAGCTTGAACTCTTCAATCCAGACGACAGCAGCTTCACTCCTGAATCCTGCAGGTTATTGTTACTCAGGTCCAGCTCTAACAGATTGCAGATCTTGGAGCTGAGAGCTGAGGACAGAGCTTCACAGATTCTCTCTGAGAGGTTACAGTCACTCAGTCTGAGGAGACAACAAGTTAAAACAGAACAAATGCTTTTTTTCATTCAACCTTTATTTATACATGTTAATCCCATTGAGCCTCGTGGACTCATTTACAAGAGAGCTTTTCTAAACCATTACTGAGGAAACGTGCATTTTAAACTTGAAAAATTCTGAAAAAATTCTGAAGGGTGCCAATACAACTACTGATCAAAATTGTAACATTATCTTTCTTTTATATAGCCCAGATGATCGGTGGGTGAAGAGTGGGTGTGTCAGATGACAGCGGACGTGATCATGGCATGAAGAGGCAGAGATGTGAGCAGATGGGGAGCACGCAGAGACAGCTGATCATGTCCAACATAGACGTATCAGGTTTTTTTTTTTTTTTAGCATGTCAAAGACTTTGTTACAATGTCAAATGAGAAGTACAACAGACGGAACCTGAGAATTTCCAGTTTGCAGCTTGGATTCTCCAGTGCAGACGACAGCAGCTTCACTCCTGAATCCTGCAGGTTGTTGTTACTCAGGTCCAGCTCTAACAGATTGCAGATCTTGGAGCTGAGAGCCGAGGACAGAGCTTCACAGCTTCTCTCTGAGAGGTTACAGTCACTCATTCTGAGGAGGCAATGATAAAACAGAAACATTATATCAGAAAACAAAGTTAAATATCATCAAGTATTACATTATCGTAAAACTCACATATCTAAAACTGTAGTAAAATAAAATAAAAATTTCTAAGTGTAAAATCTTGATTTTCTTTCACTCTCAAGTCAAACTGTCCCTGACCAAATCACAGTGAACCTCATGTTGCCCCAGTTCTGCAAATCTGAGAATGTGAATGGTGAATGTATGGTAATGTAAAAGTGTTGTGAGTGTTCAGTAAGGTTTCAAATGTGATCTATAAATGAAGTCCATTTACCATTTGACAAATTAATGTCAGCTTAACAAATAAACATCTTACAGCTCTTTTTTATGGTAATGTGGCATGCACGTGACTACTTGGTTATTTTCAGTGTCATGGATGCACTCAAATGCTTTTCCGACTGATATCAACACAGTCATGACGAAAAACTTGCTGATGTAATGAAAATATGACAGATCCCAGAGAACACATATTGCATTATGTCCCGTCTTGTTGAATTCTATCAAGACCTCTTTCAGCGTTGTTCCTATGAGATAAATGCTTTCCGACTGAAACTGTAGATAAAGTTTGTATCATCTTTATTATTTATAAATTGATTTTATTTTAACAAGGTTGAGTCCGGTCCTCTGGATGGGTTCTTTTTTGTTGAAACATTTTAGAGGAGTAAAGGTGACAAAGGTAGCTCAGTCTTTATGAAGAGAATCTGTCCATCATTAAACAGGGGAGGAGGTCTCCATGTTCATTCATTCATTCAACCTTTATTTAGACAGGTTAGTCTAATTTAGCCACGAGGATTCATTTACAAGACAGACCTGTTTTAAATAAAGGACAGAGAAGAGGTACAAACAATAATAGTCATATAAAAAAGCATATAAAATGAAAGTAAATAGAAGAAATTAAATTAAAAAATGAAACAAAAACAGCTACATTATAAAGCGGTGTAAAATACTAAAAACAGGAACATGTCTGTGTTGGTTTTTGCCATGAAATTAGCAGTTGTTTAAAATCCATGGGGGTGGGGGGCGGCGCTGTGGAGCGTCGATATGTAAAGTCCCCAGTATACTCCCAGTACGTCTGTTCGCGCGTACGTCCGTTCGTGCATACGTACATGGAAAGTTCAGACTTCATGCTCAAGCGTACACCCTGAACGACTGCAGACCAGCTCCACAGACAAGGGGCATTTACCTTCGGGACAAACTGAGGTTGCCGATTGGTCATTTGCTGACATGCCTACTTGATTGATTGACAGGTCGGAAAAAAAAAAAAAGAGGGCTGACAGTCCCGCAGCGGTGTTGTGTGTTTATATGTTGTTAATAAAAAGTTCTAAAATAAAAAATAAATAAAATAAAAAACAGGCAGCACTCGCCCTGCAGCTCACACATCAGACCAGCCCAACAGGAAATCTCCAGACCCTCCCACAGCCACACTGGGACTGATTTTAATTCCCCTGTGACAAATTCCTTAATTTCTCACAATTTCAGTCATGGCATCAACGGAGGAGAAAGAGATTGCTTGCCTCTTGGCAAAAACAAAAAAACAAAAGAAAAGTCCATATCAGGGATGAAGAAGGGGAATTTAATACATTGGTGTTGCATACAAAACAGTCCGTCGCCGGGCAGTTTATTGTGCGACACTGCAAACGCATACGCGGTCGTAAAAATGGAACTTTGCACGGACATGCCCTGCCGGGGTATGCACGCACCTCCGCGTACATACGCGCATGGACGTACGCGGGAGTATACTGGGGGCTTAAGATGTATCTCTAGCAGCTATCTAGGAATGTGACAATTTTATCCTTTTTTGCATTACTTTTTGGATCTTCTTCAACACCTACAGTTATTATTAACCTTTGTGAGCCACCTGAGACTGATTCACTGTTGCAAATTTTCAAAACCATGGCGGGACGAGGGAAATACGATGCCTCCAAGGTAGGCTGCAGTAAGCCGCGTCACTCGCCGTGCCCCAAAGCTAACTTTGAGCCCAATGCTAATGACGTCTACTAGAGCGCATGGAGGTGATGCTGGAGGGGCTGCGCTCGGACCTTCTGAATAAAATAGCTAAAATTATATCTATAGCAGTGAAGAGGGAGGTCGCGTCTGCCCTCGCCTCGCTGGAAGCTAAAGTCATGGCACATAGACAGGCGGTGGAGGCACTCGAAAGCACAGCCAACAGCCAGAGCGACATGCTAACTGGCTTGGAGGCTAAAATCTCCTCATTAACAGGCATGGTAGATTCTTTGATGAAGAAATGTGAGGACTTAGAAGGGCGCTCTAGACTGAATAATATGCGAGTGATTGGTGTCCCTGAGGGATCTGAGGGCACCTGACTGACAGATTTCATGGCCACATTGTTACAGAAGATGCTGGGGCTGGAAAAAAACCCGATACTGGATCGAGCTCACAGAACCCTTTGATCCAAACCTGCTGACTGAGAATCGCCACGGCCGTTCGTTGTCAGGATAAACATGTTTCAGCAACGTAATGAGATCCTGCAGAGGGCTAGCTCATATGCTCCTGTTCTTCACGAGGGAAGATTTTAATCTTTAAGGACTTTACCACTGCTGTGGCGAAGAAACGTGCCTCCTTTACTAAAGTCAAGAAAGAGCTGCACTCCTGCCTGGGTGTTAAATTCGGCCTGTTCTATCCAGCCATTCTACGGATAACTCTGTCAGATGGACAGATTTGGTGGTTTGAGGAGGCCTCTGAAGTCATGGACTTTGTGGAGAAGAAGTTGAAGAGGAAAGAAGGGGCTCTGCATTCTGTTTGAGAACTGGTTTGTAATGATGGGACTCAGAACTGCTGGTCCTGTTTCTTGTAAAGGAGCTGGTGAGTGCTGCTGACTGTCTGGCGCTGGTTCTGCATGTCCTCATTGTGGTTCTGAATCTACAACAATGCTGTTGCTTTGTTATAATATTAGAAGACTGGTAACAGTGATTGCTATTTCCTTTAAATATGATGACTCTGAATTGTTAAAAGGGAAAAAAATCCCTTGGAGAGGGCAAGTTTGAGAGCTTCAGATTTTTTGCAAGATATTCCAGGAAACAGGAGTGGAGTAGGAAAAGGACATTTTGCCTAGTTTGGACCGCACCAAAGGTACACTGCAAGTAATTATGTCCTGAGATTGCACACTGTAGCTCCATTCACAGAGTGACATATACAGTAGTAGGAGATATATGAAAGCAACAGACCAAGATGTGATTTAAAGATGAAAATGTACCAGTGTGAGAGCCTGCATAAAGTTAATACAAGGCACAGTGATGGGTACGGTAGTTACAGCCAGTTATGAATCTTAGCGCACAGTGATAGATAGCGTCCAACATCTGCAAGGTGCTTACAGGAGCATTCATGTAAATAATGTCACCGTAGTCAATGGAGGGGTGATATGTAGCAGTTACAAGGTGTTTCCTAGCATTCAGAGTTAGACAGGATATATTTCTGAAAAAGAAACCCAGTCTTACTTTAGTTCCTTTACCAAGTTTTTAACATGAGGCTTAAAAGAGAGATGTGAATCAACCAAAATACCAAAGTATTTATAAGAATAGACACACTCAATAGGGACACCATTTGAAGATAAGATAGAAGGAAGGACTGCTAGTACTGACTTCCTGTTTGAGAACAACATCCCTTTGGTTTTATCCACATACAAGTTTGAGATGGAAAAAATCTGACTGAATGATGTAGAGAGCTGAAAAACCTTTGCAACTGTTCTAGCTCAACAATAAACAACTGTGTCGTTGACATAGAAATGTAAGGATCCATCAGGAATGATCTTGTCAGGGTTACAGGCAGGTCAGGACAGGAAAGAAGCCAGTTGAGCAGGGAAAGGTCAGGACTCCAGGATTTAAAAAAATAAACACTCTTTAATAATAATAATAATAATAATACTGATAATAAATCAAAAAGACTGACATGGCAGCAACTTACAAAAACAGGGAATCATAATCATAATCAGGCAGGCAGGACAGAACAGGACAATACCAAATGACGACAAGACAAAGGACAAGACTCACTGACAGGCTTAAATACACAGACAAGACAGGACGTGATTACAAACAGCTGAGAACAGAAGGCACTAATAATCAGAAGGCGCAAATAATCAGGAATAATGACACACAAGGGTACACAGACAGGGAAGACCCACAAGATGGTGCCATCCCTACAGATCTGACCTACATTACTTAAGTAGATTGTGAAGAGAGTAAGTCCTAAGACTGAACCTTGTGGTACACCATTGTTAACAGTTAGATAACTGGAGGAATTACCAATATGTTGTTCACATTGTTTCCAATCTGAAAGATAATTAGAGAACCAGTCAATAGTGTGATCTGAGAAACCAATTTCAGAGAGCTTATGACATAAGATGTCATGGTCCACAGTGTCAAAAGCTTTAGACAGGCCTTGAAGGCCATCTTATCCAAAGTCACCTGGAGAAAATGTGATCTGACGCTCACCCCACCCCCCACCCCCCCACCCCCGAGGAATTTCCAACTGATAACCAGATGAGCCAGCTGAATAAACTTTGTGTCATCATTTCAGGACTCTTGGATTCTCATAGAGGTTATTCTTGGCCATTTCTCGACATACCTCGAGAATGTTTATGGATCTCACCGGAGGACATCGACTGATTACAGTGACCTCGAGAGCATCTGTAGGCGTTGTTGACCGGTCTCGTCTTTTCCTTCTTATGCTCTGCTCTGCAGAATGTCTACGTAAATATGTGCTTGTTTGTGCAAAGTGTTTTTTCAATATTAGGGGTTTTTCCCAGCCAAGAAAAAAGTCTGATAGGAATTTTTTTTCGCCTCCAATTTCCTACATGTGTCCAGTTAACCACTGTTTTTTGTCTGTCCAAACAGGTCTCACTTGTAAATGAGTCTTCGAGGCTCAATGTGATTTATCTGTTTAAATAAAGGTTGAATGAATGAAAAAAGACAGGTCTAAATAAAGTGCAGCACAATAGTCCTTAGCTTCCAATGCTTCAACGACATAATTAAAAAACCTTCAGTGAAGCAGACGGTGTGCTGTTTTGTTTCTTGAAACCTGATTGATGGGGAGGTAAGATGTTAAAAAAAATCCAAATACTTTGACTCGGGTGTTTATCCATTTTCTAAAACCTTAGAGCACAAGTGTCAAACTCCAGGCCTTGAGGGGTGGAGTCCTAAAACTTTTAGATGTGTCTCTGATGCCACACAGCTGAATCAAATAAGGAGGTCATTAGCAGGACTTTGGAGAACTTGACTGCACTGAGAAGCTAATTCAGGCATATGATTCAGCTGTGTGGCATCAGAGACACATCTAAAAATTGCAGGACTCCGGCCCTCGAGGCCTGGAGTTTGACACCCCTGCCAGTTTAGAGACTGGTCCATAGTTGTTCAGTATAGTGGGGTCTCCTCCCTTCAGCAGAGGTAAAACAAAAGCTGTTTTCCAGGTGTTTGGAATGGTATTTTGTCTGATGGACAGATTAAAGATATGAGACTTTGGTTCTGAGATGATGTGTGTAGATAGCCTTAAGAAATAAGGGAAGGGAAAGGAAAGGAAGTCTGAGATTGTCAACGTTGTGTTCTATACAATGACAAAATTAGTTCTCTGTATTTAACCCATCACACCTGAGATACACCCAGGTGGAGCAGTGGACAGCCATGTAAGCGCCTGGGGAGTAGTTAGGGATTAGGTGTCTTGTGCAGAGACACCACGGCATGTGAGAATGGCTTGGAGTCGAAATGCGACTTTCTGCTACCAAGTCGGCTTCCCTGCCTCTACCCCATCTCGCACCCCCCAATAAAGGGGAAAATAAAGAAATAAGGAGGAATATCATCAGGGCCTACAGATTTTCTAAGGTCCAGACCTTTTAACAATTTGTTAACCTCACTAACAGAAAATAGTGAAAATGAAAAGGTTTGGTTTACTGTAGATTGGCTTATGGGAGAGATTTTATTTGTAGATGTTTGGCTTAAAGGCTCCTGACAGGCAGGAGTCCAATCTTCTCAGTCTGTGCATGGCAGGTGAAATCCAGAGGCATGGTCCGATGGTCATAGCAGGGGTCAAGCACGTTGAAGCAGAGAAGCAAGAACAGGGCCGAGTTGTGATCCAAAAGAGTAGTCAAAGGGAGAGTAAGAGTCATTACCGTGGTCAGATATGCAGACAAATCCAGAAATGGGCAAGGCAAGGCAAGGCAAGGCGAGGAGTAATAAAATCAGGCGAGGGTTCAAGGCAAGACAAGGAAACAAGATACTATGATTAAAGGCTTCAGAATCAGGGACCATGGGAGGTATAATAATTTGGCACTGGTGGAGAGTGAGAATGGAGTTTATAAAGGGTGCAGAGCAGGTGAACTACATGAGATGAAGCAGGTAAGTGGAATCCGGGCTGATTGCTGTGAGAAAGGGGAGGTGTGGCATGGAGTGAAGGGAGCAGGCTTGAGCTGGAGGATGGGTAAATGGTAAATGGACTGTAGTTATATTGTGCCTTTCTATCTAATGAAAATACTCAAAACGCTTTACACTACATGTGTACTCATTTACCTGACTCCAGCAACCAGCAGACTAATTAATAAAAACTGTTCTTTTTGTACTCATGTGTCTGGCTTATTCTGAATCCAAAACCTGGTCCTGACAATTGCTTTATTTTATTGTGTGACATCAAAAAAGATTCCTGGATTAAGTTTGAAAATAGTGCTTTGTTGAAGTTCAGACAAATTTATAAAATGGATTAAACCTGAGAGTTTTTAGTTTGCTGCTTGAACTCTTCAGTCCAGACGAGAGCAGCTTCACTGCTGAATCCTGCAGGTTGTTGTTACTCAAGTCCACTTCCAACAGATTACAGGTCTGGGAGCTGAGAGCTGAGGACAGAACTTTGCAGCTTCTCTCTGTGAGGTTACAGTCATAAAGTCTGAGGAGACAATGATACAGTATGTTTCACCATTTTAAAAATCGTTTAAAAAATAGATGCAAATCAGTTGTGTGAACAAGTATGGTGCAAGATGTAAGAAGGAAGGGCGGATAGATGGACATACAGAGCTTTGTTGGAGGCTCTGAGCACTGGCAGCAGCCTCAGGAGAACCTCCTCTGAAGCAGAGTATTTCTTCAGGTCAAACACATCCAGATCTTTTCCTGATGACAACTGGATGAAGATCAGTGCTGACCACTGACCTTGAGACAGTTCATCTGTGGATAGACTTTTTGATTTTAAAGACTGTTGCATCTCCTCTACCAGAGAATGATCATTCAGTTCATTCAGACAATGAAACAGATTGATGCTTTTCTCTGCAGACAGATTCTGGTTGATTTTCTCTTTGAGATACTGGACTGTTTCCTGACTGGCCTGTAAACTATTTTCTTTCTGTGTTAGCAGATCTCGTAAGAGTGCCTGATTGGTTGGCAGTGAAAGGCCAAGAAGGAAACGGAGTAACAAGTCCAAGTGTCCATTTGGACTTTTTAAGGCTTTGTCAACAACACACTGATAGATTTGTTTTGATTTTTTAATGTTGAAAATTTTAGACCACACTGAAGGTGCTTGTTGTTGTTCTTCAAGCAGGTTAACACCAGAGTTGATGAAGGTCAGATGGACATGAAGAGCAGCCAGAAACTCCTGAACACTCAGATGGACGAAGCAGAACACCTTGTCCTGGTACAGGCCTCTCTCCTCTTTAAAGATCTGTGTGAACACTCCTGAGTACACTGAGGCTGCTCTGATATCGATGCCACACTCTGTCAGGTCCGATTCATAGAAGATCAGGTTTCCTTTCTGCAGCTGATCAAAAGCCAGTTTTCCCAGAGACTCAATCATCTTCCTGCTCTCTGGACTCCAGTGTGGATCTGTCTCAGCTTTTTCTTTGTACTTAACTTTATTCACTTTGGTCTGAACCACCAGGAAATGGATGTACATGTCAGTCAGGGTGTTGGGCAGCTCTCCTCCCTCGCTGGTTTCCATCACCTCCTCCAGAACTGTAGCAGTGATCCAGCAGAAGACTGGGATGTGGCACATGATGTGGAGGCTTCGTGATATCTTGATGTGGGAGATGATCCTGCAGGCCTGCTCCTCATCTCTGAACCTCTTCCTGAAGTACTCCTCCTTCTGTGGGTCAGTGAAGCCTCTGACCTCTGTCACCATGCCAACACACTCAGCAGGGATCTGATTGGCTGCTGCAGGTCGTGTGGTTATCCAGAGGCGAGCAGAGGGAAGCAGTTTCCCCCTGATGAGGTTTGTCAGCAGCACATCCACTGAGGTGGACTCTGTCACATCAGTCAGGATCTGATTGTTGTGGAAGTCCAGAGGAAGTCGACACTCATCCAGACCATCAAAGATGAACACAAGCTGGAAGTCTTCAAAGCTGCACATTTCTTTGGTTTCAGTAAAGAAGTGATGAACAAGTTCCACCAAGCTGAGCTTCTTCTCTTTCAGCACGTTCAGCTCTCTGAAAGTGAATGGAAACATGAAGTGGATGTTGTGGTTAGTTTTGCCTTCAGCCCAGTCCAGAGTGAACTTCTGTGTTAAGACTGTTTTCCCAATGCCAGCCACGCCCTTTGTCATCACTGTTCTGACTGGTTCATGTCTTCCAGGTGGGAGTTTAAAGATGTCTTCTTGTCTAATTGTTGTTTCTGGTCTGTCTGCTTTCCAAGATGCTGCTTCAATCTGTCTAATCTCGTGTTCAGTATTGACCTCTCCGGTCCCTCCCTCTGTGATGTAGAGCTCTGTGTAGATCTGATTCAGAAGGGTTGGGTTTCCTGCTTTGGCGATCCCCTCAAACACACACTGGAACTTATTTTTCAGAGCATATTTAAGTTTTCGCTTGTAAACTGCAACAGAAGGACCTGCAAGAAATAAAAAGAAGATCATAATGAAACATTATGTCGCTCTTAAAAAGTGATGGATATATGTTGTTCCAGCTACAGAGAAATTAGTAAAAGCATCATGTTCTGATGCATGCTCAGTAATCCAGGTAGATAATCTATCCAGATTAAGTTAGGTCCTCTGGAAGGATTCTTTTTTGTTGAAACTGTGTTTTTTATCCAAAAGACCTGTCCAGGGATTACTCCGCTTCTTGTATAGTGATGGCTGGATATGGGCAACAGTGACCCCCCACAATCCAAAAAGGAAGAAGTCGGTTAAGATAATGGATGGATGGACGTCTTCAGTCTGAGGAGCTGAAAGCAACTTCATTCTTATAAATAGCACCTTCTCATAGGTGAGAGAATGTACATGTCAGTAAGGGTGTTGGACAGAAGGTGATGTTTATAAGACTGAGTTTGTTGCAGCTCCTCAGACTGAAGAAGTCTTTTGGATAAAACACGAAAAGTTTCAACAAGAACAATCTGTTCAGAAGACCCGACTCAACGTTGTTAGATAGTAAAAGCATAATTTAGTTAGCAAATTATACTTTAGAGAAATGGTCTTACTTTTTGACAGACAATCAGCCAGTTCATCCTGCTTCATCTTCCTCAGGAACTTTTGTGTGATCCTTACAAAAGCTTCAGTTATGGTCATTTGCTTTTCATTGAAACCCTCCAACACATCCTCATCCTTACTCTCACTCTCTGAGCCTTCTGGGTAATCTGGATCTAAAGCCCACTGGATTCTTTTCAGCTCTTTTTTGACAAAAGTGACGATATTGTCCTCCAGCATCTTGAACAGAAATTTTTTACAAAAGGGGTTACATTTAGTTCAAATTATGGAACAAAATATCAGATTAATGTTGGACTGATTGACAGTTCATTGGTCTACAAAGTGCAGCATGGAAATGACTGTGTTATAAATGCACTTGTCATATACTGGGGAAATCATATTAGACACCTTACTGATTTTGTAAGTTCACCCATTTACAAAGAAATAAACAATGTCTAACTTTCAAGTCAAATAGTGCCAAGTGTCTCCTGAGGTGTAATCAATGTTGTAGAATACAATGGTTATACGTTTTTTTTTGTATTTGGGCCACACAAATGTTTAAAATAAAGACCTTAATCTAACAAAACAGTTGTGGAAATGCCCAAGCTCACAGCCATTCATTACCAAATGCTGATGACATCACACCAGGGACTGGGCACAGGCAGGAGTGTGTGTGCTCTTTCTCTCTTTCCTCTTCTAAAATAAATAATGGATCTCCCACTTACTTTTCAAAGTAATCACTCTGTCTCAAGCTCTGTTTTTCTTTTTCATCTTTGCCTCAGCTGTCTGAATGGGTTCTGACTCCGCAGCTCTGTTCATTTATGGGTCAGCAGCTCCATCAGCCCCCACCTCAAACAGAAGCTGCAGCTTCATATTCATAAATTGCCACATTGTTTTGACTCAAACACATTAAAATTAACACAATTATGAAATAAAAAAATAAAAATGAAAAATGTTCTTGTGTTTTTCATGATGACATTTGTTTCATGATTGTGTTTTTCATGAAAGTGTATTTATTTCATAATGGCGTTTTTCATAATGGCTTATTTATTTCATAATGCCACTTTTCAGCAGAATGACTTCAGCTGTCAATCAACTTCAGTGGGTTGGACCTTCACCCCACTGGCTGATCCTTCACATCCATTAGTTTTCCTGAATACTTGCTCACACTTGCTAGTGTTAATCTTGTTACTCTTCTTAAATTCAAAAAACTAAAACGTTGGTTACGTATTGTATTCCCAGATTCTATGAGTGTAAGTGTAGCCCTTTAAAAGCTGTCACTATTGGATTTACCTACGCGCAGAACACTGAAAACTTCTAGTCCATGTCCACCTGCTGTGTGGGCCCCACCCGGTCCGTTATAAATTGCATCTGGACCGGAGATCGACTCCCAAAGGCACACTGTTTTTCTTCAGCCATTTGAGAGCTAGTGAGGCCCAGTTTTTAAAGGGCTACACTTACACTCATAGAATCTGGGAATACAATACGTAACCAACATTCTATTTCATGTAAGCTACACCCTATAAAAGCTGTCGCTGTTGGGTTTAAAGGGCGGAGCAGGATATGGTCCATGCCTCACTGGGTCTGTCTGAGAACCATTAAAAAAACACCCTGATATCCGCCTAAAACCTCGTTCTTTATTCAAGTGTAATTACGCATCATTGATCCATGTACCTGGTGCGTACTGGATTACAGGCGTTCAGCCTCTGTGCCTGATCTTAGCTGAAGGAATGTTTATTCACATCAGACAATAGAGGAATAAGAAAAGGAAAAATTTCCAATGAGGAAGAAGGAATTTTTCTGTTTGAACGAGTGATCGTAGAAAAAAACGCCCACTAATAATGACAGAGCAGGGTTGTGTTGTTTTTATTGTTTGTTGTTTTTAATTTATTTTTATTTTTAGTTGTGTGATTGTGAAAAATCACTCTGACATAACTCTGAGAACTGAATGCGTCAGTAAAGAGCTGGAGACATCTCGTAAATAAAAACGGATAAAGGGGATTGGTGATGACCAAGAAGCCACAGAGCAGATGTCCTGCACAGACACCCCTCTGTGCAGAGCTGTGGAGGTAGAAATCCCCCCTGGTGGAATGAGCTCTGAGTCCTTCAGGCGGTTGAAGGCAAGAAGAACTATAGGCTTGTAATATAGTTTCACATAACCAATGTGACAGACGCTGGGAAGATAAAGGCTGACCCTGTGATCGTTCCCTGAAATGTACGAACAATTGATCGGATTTACGCATCACGGCTGTGCGTGTCACATAACACCTGAGTGTGCGTACTGGACAGAGCAGGTGAAATTGTTCCTCCTCCGTAGTTTTATGGGGAGGGGGACAGAACCTGTCCAGCGTAATGACTCTGGACCAGAACGAACTTGCTTTTGGGTATAAAAGCAGGATTCGGTCGGAGTTCTGCTGAACTTCCATCTCCTTGAATTCTGAGACAAGAAGGAGCGACGGACAGACTTGACAAGTTGCTCACTCTTTTAGCTGACGTCAGAACTAATAACAAGGCTGTTTTGAGTGACAGATACATCTTAGGTATCTGATCCAGGGGCTCAAACAGATCTTTAGTTAGTGCACTGAGAACGAACACTAAATCCCACTGTGGTGCCAGGTGGTCACTGGCCTGAGCCGGCGCGGACCTGTCAGAAACCGTTTTGTTAAAGGGTGATTGAAAACGTTTCTATCATTGAAACCTTCATGACAGGAAGAGATTGCTGCAGCAAAAGTTTTAATTGTGCTGAAAGCTAAATTTCTGCCCAACAGCAGATGCAGGTAGGATAAAATGCAACCCAGGGGACATGAAGTCGGGTCCACGTCCTTTTCTAGGCACCATTGCTGAAAAGCAGCCCATTTAGAAGCGTAAACAACCATAGTGGATTTTGTGCGTGCCCCCTGAATGGTACATATTACGTCTTTGGAAAACCCAAATTTTTCTAATCATTCTCGTTCAGCAGCCAGACCCCAAGGGGCTGATCTATTATAGGGAGGCTCCTGATTGCTCCTCCCGCCTGCAGGAGCACATCCTCTCTCCACAGCAACATCCATGGTTGACCCATTAGCTGTTGCAGAACTGGGAACCACGAGGCGTTCATGCATTCTGGGGCGATCAGAATCATTTTCAGAGTCTCCTCTCTCACCCTCTCAAACAGTGCTGATATCAGGGGAACTGGAGGGAAGGCATAAATCAGCAACTTTGGCCACCGTTTGTGTGCAAATGCATTCATTCCCAGTGGCGGAGCATCCCTGGATTTAGGGAGAAGAAAAGTGCGCACTGAGAATTTTCTCGGGTGACCTTCAGGTCCATCTTCACTCTCCCGAACCTGCTCCAGATTTGCAAGATTAGATCTGTATGAAGAGACCAATCCTTGTCTAGAGGGCCTCCTCTCGACATAATATCTGCTCCTCTGTTTAGAACGCCTGGGATATAAACTGCTCTGATCGAAAGTAAGTGTGCACGCACCCAGCAGAGCAGTTTACTGGCTGCATTCAGCAGCTGAGCTGAATGCACGCCCCCTTCGGGATTTATGTACGCCGCTGCTGTTCTGTTGTCTGTGTGGATTATCATGTGATGACCCTGAACCAGTGGAGCAAAATGTCTGAGCACTTTGTTTACTGTGAGAAGTTCTAAAACATTTATGTGACAAGACGTGCCAGCCTGCCACTCCCCTCCGATCGTTTGTGACAGGCAGTTCCCTCCCCAGCCGGAGAAGGACGCGTCTGTGAACACCGACATGAATGACGTCACTTTGACCAGGGGAACTCACTCTGACAGATTCAGGGAATTCCCCCAGTGGTTCAGATCCGCTCCCACAGATGGGGGAATGGTGATCAGGCATCGTTTGTGACGTACAGGTCGACTATCAGATGATTGAACCATCTTTGCAGGCGGCGCATAAATAATAACCCCAGCGGCACCACAACGTGAGCCGCTGACATCATTCCTAGTAGTCTCATGACTGTTACTGTTCTGAGGGGCCGGACAAACGGAATAATAGAGCTCTTCTCTCAATTTATCGTGAATCCCAGATGATTCACTAAAACAACTGTTTGTGTTTCTGCCTCTTTTCTGTACCGAGATAACAGCAGAAGGTCGTCCAGATAAAACAGGATTTTTATCCCTCTCATTTGAATTGGCTAGCGAGCTGCCTTCATACACTTTGAGAACGTGTGTGGGGTGAGCGCATACCCTAACGGCAGACGGTTGTATTGGAAGCAGGCCCCCTGGAAGGAAAAATGGAGGAATTTCCTGTGTTTGTTTATTATCAGACTGTGGAAGTATGCATCCTTCAGATCAATGGAAACAAACCAATCCCCTTGTATCACATATTCGAGAACACGGTTCACTGTCAGCATGTGAAAGGGTCGTTCCATGATGAATTTGTTGAAGGCAGACAGATTCAGAATTGGTCTGAGGCCTCCTGACTTCTTTGGAACCAGGAAGTACTGGGAGTAAAAACCGGCTTCCTCCTCTCCCGGGGGAACTTTGGAAATCACGTCTTTTTCCAGAAGCTCCGTCAGCTCTGATTGGAGGATTATGCCCTGTTCTGGAGATTTTAGCTGGGTTTCTAACACTCCGTTGAATTTTGGTGGTGTTCTCGCAAACTGCAGAGTGTAACCCTTGTGAATTAAGCGATGCAACCATTTGTTCAAGTTGCATGTTTCCTGCCATGCCACGCTGCACTCCGAAAGTGGGAGCGCGTGGATGTTTTGTCTCGTAAGGGAGAATAACTGAGCCTCTACCGCCATTGTATCCTGTGGGGGAGGGGGCTTCACCCACACTGACCCATGGGAGGCTGGAATGAAAAGGGCTGTTTATTGGCTCCTATGTAAAGGTTCTTACAATGTTCCCCGGTCGTGCCCAGTTGGGGAGAAGAACCGACGTTAGCGGGTGAACAAAACAAGTGCCGCTTCGGTGGAGGTTCACCTTCAGTGCTCACTTCTTCCAGCCGGTCAGGAGAGAGAGACGGATAACCCCTGCGTAAAGCTCTCACTTTAACTGCAGGTTAATGTTTTTTTACCTGAGTGGGCAGGGACAGAAAGGTACCTGTGTTTTTTGGGGGCATTTTGTCAAACAACTTACCACTCTGTGTTTTCTGACAGCTGTCCTCAGCGCTCACCTCCTCTGACAAGTGAGGACACGGGGCTGGTGGGTGGGTGGAGGAGTCTCCGAGCACAGCTGCTCCATCTCCTGTTTGTGTGCCATTACACCTTAACTGCTTTTCTTTTTGTTTACCT